AGGAGTCACAAAGCCCTGAGGCGAGCTCCAGCCTGGCTGGTGGGGACACTGGGCAAGCTGGCACAGCTGCAGAGTAGCTGGGGAGGGTCACAACCTTTCTCAGGTACCAGCCATTGGGATGTTGTTTCTCTGTTGCCCATTGTTTCTTTCCTGCACCTTGAGCTAGTCCTGGAGCCGCTGGCTAGTGAATAATGAATAGTACCAGCACCATATTGTGGGCCATCACATCTTCTTACATGCCCCTTGTCAGGGAATGCTGAGGACCAGCTTTGTTGTGCTGAGTGCATAAACACCGTGGGATGCAATCCCTGACCCTTTCCCAGTTCTTTAAGAACCACCATACAGGTAAACAAGTGGAGAGATTTGGGTAGGGAGAATTCCATTGTAAATTCTGAAATTGCCTTCCTTAGGGTAAAGTAAGTCTTGTTTTATGAATGTGTATGTATATATATATATGTGTGTGTATAAACGTCTTGATATAAACAAACACGTGTCCATGTATAAGCACACTCTAATTCTATCTATTTATCTCTGTGTGTGTCTGCACCTGTATCTGCCTTTTACTCTGTGTGTGTACATGTGTGCGTACCCGTGCATGTACATGTGTACAGTGCTTGTGTGGAGATTCCTTCCCCAGCAGCTCCTACTCCAGGACACAGGGTAGCAGCCAGAAGCTGGTAGATGGGAAATTCCAAATAGATGCAAGTGAAAAAACATGCTAGGCAGGTGGTTGGGCACTGGTGTAGGGGCCCGAAGAGGAGGGTTTGCCCACCTTGGAGATACTGGAAGTCAGATGGGCAAGTTCTTCAGCATCTTGAATGGGACAAGCTTCAAGCAGGCGCTGGAGCAGAGACCTCCCAAGGCCCCATCCAGCCTCGTGGCTCAGTTGCCCTGGGTCTGTCTTTACTGCCCAGTTTGTCATTGTGGCCCTCCTCCCACTAAGCCCAGTCTGACCCAGCACCCAGAGCTCCAGCTCATGGGGACCCCACAGCTCTCCCAGCTGCAGAGGGGCCACAGCTGCTTAGAGCACTGTGGGCAGTGCTGTGCACCGTGCTCTCTCTGCACTGTGGGCAGTGCTGTGCACCGTGCTCTCTCTGCACTGTGGGCAGTGCAGGGCACCGTGCTCACTGTTCAGTGTTGGCAGTGCTGTGCACTGTGCTCTCTGTGCACTGTGGGCAGTGCAGGGCACCGTGCTCCCTGTGCACTGCGGGCAGTGCTGTGCACCGTGCTCTCTGTGCAGCACGGGCAGTGCAGGGCACCGTGCTCACTGTTCAGTGTTGGCAGTGCTGTGCACTGTGCTCACTGTGCAGTGTGGGCAGTGCTGTGCACCGTGCTCCCTGTGCACCGTGGGCAGTGCTGTGCACCGTGCTCTCTGTGCACAGTGGGCAGTGCTGTGCACCGTGCTCACTGTGCAGTGTGGGCAGTGCTGTGTACCGTGCTCACTGTTCAGTGTGGGCAGTGCTGTGCACTGTGCTCACTGTGCAGCATGGGCAGTGCTGTGCACCGTGCTCACTGTGTACTGTGGGCAGTGCTGTGCACCGTGCTCTCTGTGCACAGTGGGCAGTGCAGGGCACCGTGCTCACTGTGCACTGTGGGCAGTGCAGGGCACCGTGCTCTCTGTGCACTGTGGCAGTGCTGTGCACCGTGCTCACTGTGCACTGTGGGCAGTGCAGGGCACCGTGCTCACTGTGCACTGTGGGCAGTGCAGGGCACCGTGCTCTCTGTGCACTGTGGCAGTGCTGTGCACCGTGCTCACTGTGCAGCATGGGCAGTGCAGTGTGGGCTTTGCTCTCCGCTGTGCAGGAGGCACCAGAGCCATCACAATGCTCAGGGTTCACAGGGAGCTCTGCTCTGCTCTTTGCCAGGAACACTCTGCTGCTCTGCAGCTCTCTCCAGCAGCGCTGGTGACAGCATGAGTCCGTCATCTCCAGCAGCTCTATACAGAGCTGCACCTCTGCAGCATTTGTGGGAATTTCAGCATGGCTGTTAGTAGGGTTGCAGTGTGTATGGGCTCTGGGGTTGTTCTAATACAACAACAACAAAACCCTCTAGGCAGCTAAAAACTGTAAGTGTTGGAACCACCTCAGTGGCAGCCCATGGATGAGCATGCAGTGGAGTGGGAGTGCTCTGCACATGGATTTCCGGTGGGCAGTGGCCTCTGTGGTGTGGGACATGGGTTAAAGACACAATAAACCCATGCTGCCATTAGGGCAGGACATATCAAGCCAGTGTCAGTTACAAATGCCCAGTGGGACTAAGGGAGTTCTTGGACCTTAAAATAAAATTTGACTCTTTTTAATGTCACTGCCCCAACCCTGGAGCTGTGGACACTTTCTGGAGTGTTGTGGTTAACGTGCACTGCTGTGCTGTGATTGGCTGCAGTGGCACAGACCCCTCATGTGGAGACATTTGTAGTGGCAGAGTCCTGCATGTAGCTGCAGAACGGCTTTGCCATGCCCTCCCACACAGAGGTGAGTACCAGCTCTTGTGCCAGAGCCACTGCAGTTGCTGCAAACAGCTGCATCCCCTTTGAAGCCACGGAGCACAGCTGAGGTCAGAGCTGTCTCAGGCCAACACCCACCTGAGGACAGAGAAGTGGTGCAGGCTCAGGCAGCTCTACCCCAGCCTGCTGAAAAGGGAGCAGACAGTTTTCCTGAGAGCAGGGCGCTAGGGGCTGCTGCCAAAGCACATTTACTCCCCTGATCCAGAGGGAATGCCAGCAGGTGTTGCTACCTGGACAGGGCAAATCCATGCTGGGGATGCTGTGAGCAGCACCAGGCCAGGCATTTCCTGAGGACACTTTCTTGTTTCCAGGAGAGTAGTGCAGGGACAGAGGCAGGTGTCCTGCAGTGGAAGCCAACTGTGCTGAGAAACCAAATCCTGAAAGGATCCCACAGAACCCTCTCAGTACCTGCAGCAAATATTTCTGTGGAAAGAGCCCCACACCAGGGACATCTAGAAGCACAGCTTTGTCCAAATGATTGCTCTGATCTGAGCTGTGTCTGTGTCTGTTGGCCACACAAGCCAACTGTAGCCAAGGGGCAGAGACAGCCACCCCCCAGTGTTCCAAAGCTCCAGGGCACTGCAGGAGGACTCAGCTCTGAGCATGGATCCCACACTCCAGGTGAACAGAATGTACCTGCCAAAGAGGGAAGGGACATGCGGAGGGAGCACTGCCCCCCAGGCAGCATTCAGATGGCCCAGCCCTGGCTGTGGCATCAGGGAGGGCACTCAGGAAGACAGAGTCAGCTCTGGCTGTCAGGGATAGTTCCTGCTCTCCCAAGCTGTGTCTCCCAGGGAAGGTGTCAGTACCCGGCTGGACCATTTGTGACTCAAACTCCCTATCAAACCTGTGAGCAATTGGTGCCCTAGCCAAACCTTGGAGAGAGCCCTCCCCCTGTCCAGGAACCTCTGGTGACATTGCAACGGGTTTTGCTACCACAGCACAGGCATGGGAGCTCCCTTGCCCCATGGACTCACTGATGTTTGTCACACCGGAACAGTTTTCCCAGGCTGGACACCCAGGGAGCCACACGGCGCTTGTGCTCTTGACTGGGCATGCCGCTGTGCCCTGTGCAAAACTGGGTTCATGGGGCTCTGGGGCTGGGCTCAGTATCTGAGGTGGCTGGCTGCGGAAGCAGCATCTCGTGCGATAGCTCTCAAGGGCCGAGAATGGCTGGCCTGGATGTGCGAGCGCCTTTTGTTGTTGCACCTGTCCCAGGGCATCAGCGCCAGGGAGCCGGGCCAGGGCAGCGGCCGCAGCCGTGCTGGAGCCTGCAGCAGCACACACGTTCCCGCACCCCGGGATGAGCTGCGGAGGCGGTCCCGAACCAGTCCTGGCCCCGGCTCCGCCGGCGGCAGGGCCGACCTGGAGATGCTCCCGGGCGCCTCCCGGCCCGCCCCATCCTCTTCTCTCTCCCGCGTCTCGGCACGGCGCAGCAGCGGCTGCAATGGAGCCCGCAAGGCCGCCGCTGCTGCTCGCACAGCCTCGGGATCCGCGGGCCCCGGTACCGGCACCGGCCGAGGGGCGGGTGAGCCCCGGAGCCTCCTCTTCTCCCGTCCGCTTGCCGCCCCGACCTCCGCGGCCGCCTCTCGGGGCCGGCGCAGCCGCCCGCTGCCCGTGCCCTGCCCGTGCTCGTGTTCTTGTCCCTGCCCCTTCCCTGTTCTCATCCCTCTCCCTTCCCTGCTCTCCTTCTCTGCCCGCGCCGGGCCGGGGCCGCAGGACCCCCGTTCCTGCAGCGAGGAAGAACGTGGTCTTGCTCCATAGAAAATAATTTATTGAAATCACAGCTATACATGGGCAGGCGGCAGCGAGGGCCCGGCCCGGCCCGGCCCGGCTCAGCCCGGCCCAGCGGGCGGCCAGGGCCCGAGGGCCAGGCGGCCGCACTCCCCGTGGCACGGACAGAAGGACACGCTGCCGTATGTACAGAGTTTACACGGAATAAATAAGGGACATGTACACAGGAGGGGGAGCGGGCGCTCGGCCCGCCCCGCGCCGCCGCCGCCCGCCCCAGGGTCCGGGAGCCCGGCCGGGCTCAGGGCCGGGCGCCCTGCTCGATCTGCTGGTGCTGGCTGCGCACGGCGAAACGATTGACGTGCACCGGGATGGGCACCACGATTTTGGGGTTGCGGACGGGCTCTCCCGAGCGGTTGCTGACATTGCCAGCCTTGATGCGTTTCCACTTGGCGCGGCGGTTCTGGAACCAGATCTTCACCTGCACCTCGCTCAGCTTCAGGGCATGTGCGATCTGCGAGCGCTCCGTCAGGCTCAGGTACTTCTTGCAGTGGAACTCCTTCTCCAGCTCCAGCAGCTGCTCGCTGGTGAAGGCCGTGCGGCGCCGGCGGCTCTTCCCGGCCGCGGAGCCCGGCGGGGGCTGCTCGGCGGCGGGGCCGCCCTTGCCCTTGCCCTTGGCTCCCAGCGCGGTGCCGGCGGCCGCCCCGTCCAGGAAGGGCTCCTCCTCGCTCTCGCCCGCCGAGCTCTCCTCCTCCCGCTCGCTGCACGGCGTCGCCGCCGACTTCACCTCCAGCTTCTCCTCGTCTGAGCTGTACGCCTTCCCGTCTGCGGGGCACACAGCGTCAGTGTCCGCCGGCGCACCCGCCCGCAGCCCGCCCGCCCGCGCCCGGCTCCCCCCGCTCCCAGAGCCCGCAGCCGCGGGGGAAGCTCGCCCCGCTCCCCCGGCGGGAGGCTGCAGCTCCTCCCGCTGTCTCGGACCCCGTCACTACCGCGTCCCGCAGCCCCGGAGCGGGCGAAGCGGCAGCCCCGGCTCCAGCCCCAGCAGCCCCGCACCGGCTCCTGCTGCGGGCGGCGCCAGCCGCTCCGCCCGCGGACCCCAGCGCCCTTCTCCCCGCAGCCTTCCCGGCTGCAAGGGGCAGCACCGACGGACCCGGCGGCCACCCTGGCTCCGACCCCCTCAGCAGTGGCCCCGTCCCCATCCCACGGCCCAGCGGTAGCAGCATCACGGTCTTGGTCTAGCGGAGGGCATCCCAACACTTCCAGGGCTTGTCTGGATCTCCACGTAGGAAAGAACGCCCGTACCTTGTCTCAGCTCAGCCCCCCCTGTCTCTTCCCAGTGCACCAGCCCATCGATGCTGTTAGAAAGTAGCCAGCCAAGAGCTGAAGAACTGTCCTGGAAACAGCATCCAGAGCCAGCTCCAGCCCAGCAAACCTCTCTGCGGGGCTCTACAGGACATGGGGTGGCCCACTTCTGGCTCTCCCTCCCTAATCGAAGGATGCACCACAGCAGAGTGTGCAGCCCGGGAACAAGGTGCTGAGGCAGCTGATGCTCAGGACTCAGCTACGCCCAGCAGTGGGCAGAGGGGCAGGACAGAACCTGTCAACATCACACAACAGACAGCACCTCATCCCAGGCCATCAGGCAGAATGCAGTGCTTGGATCACAGCAGACACCTCTGTTAAGATGCCTGTAAGGATATTGATGGGGTACTGGGGTATGAATCTCTTCCTTGCAAGCTTCTTGTGTCCCAAACTGCTGCCTGAAGGATTAAAGAGCCATGGAGCAAGGGAGGACACGGTGAGAGACAGAGGAAAGAGGTTTGGAAGACAGTAAAGACAGTAATTTCCATAGCAGAAGGGCTCAAATTGAGAACATGCTCTCAGCCACAGACGGGTCATGAAGGGAGGACCAACAGCTATGCACAAGCAGGTGAAGAAGCTTTTCTGTCAAGCTGAGACTAGAAGAGACCAGAAAATTCTTCAAGTCTGACCCAAGAGCAGTAATCACTGCTGGAAGGTGTTGTCCTGAAGCACTGCTGCTCTATATAATCCAACATGCACAAGGAGAAGCAGCAGCTCTCCAAACTTCTAAGCAGTTCAGGTATTGGCACATGCAGCCACGGCCCCTGGACCACTGGCCACCTGACCTCATCTCAGTGGGAAAGGCAGAACAGCCCTCAGAAGCCTGACAATGCAGGGTTTAAATACACAAACAGAACTGCGGGAGACTACTTGAGCCCAGAAGACAATCCTGGTAGTCTGGTGACTGTAGAGCTCCCACATCCCTTGTCAGTCCTGCAGCAATCCTGTGGCTTCCCGAGACCAGGCTCTGGAGATCTGGAATCTTCTCCCTCCTCTTCCTGTTTCCTACAGTGGGAAAGAACACCTTCATCTCTATCCTGCTGCAGAGTGATCTCTTTCTTCCTGAGGGTCAGGGGCAGGGGAAGAGATTTCCCATATGCATAGAGGGTAAAGAGATTTCGTGCTTGTGGGGCCGAGGATCAGCAGCAGGTGGCAGGGACCACTTTGGCTGCCGTTGCACAACCTCATGCAGGCACTTTGCTGAGGACAAGAAGAGCTTTCACTTCTGTGTACCACCTCTCTCTGGTGGAGCATGGGGCCTGACAAGGTAAGAGAGCTCTTATGAGGAAGTCAGTGTCTTCCTCAAGGGCTCTTTAGGTCCTGCCCTGGCACCACAGCTCCCCAGGGATGGAAGATGGCATCCCAGCAGCCACACCAGCAAACAGTGCTCGGAGGGCACTTTGCTCCTGTCAGCTCAGGCTGTGCCTAGGAGATTGGAAGAAGACTGAGCAATATGATGGTTTTCAAAACAGCTGCTATCTCTGAATACTCTCTTCTGAACCAGACTCCAAATTTTAAATGGAGCACTCTCACATTTGTGTCTTATAAAAGGGCTGGGTTTGCAATAAGGAACTTGGAACTACTTGATAACATAATCTAAATTGGATGTGTTCACAAAGAAAATTGGTATATTGGTCTGTTAGTCACCTACTATGTCCCCAGCAAGGAAGGAATGAAGGCAGGGAATCCCACCCATGTGGTTGGGGTATACTGAGACCTTCAAGGCCTTTGAACAGTAAGTGAAGCTGTCATGAAGAAAAGCATCATGACTGAAAAAACAGTGAGAAGCAGTAAATGAAGAACAGGGTTGACCCGCTGGTTTGTCTTTCACAAAGTCACAGCTATTCATTGATCTTGTCAAAGACATTGAAGAGAGTCCAAAGGGGGGGGTCACAAAAATGTTCTGGGGGCTGGAGCACCTCTGCTGTGAGGCCAGGCTGAGAGAGTTGGGGTGTTCAGTGTGGAGAAGAGAAGGCTCCATGTAAACCTTATTGAAACCTTTGAGTACTTAAGGAGGGCTTGTAAGAAAGACAGAGACTTTAAAGCCTCTTGTGATGGAACAAGGGGTGATGATTTTACCTAAAAGGTCAATTAAATGAGGCATAAGAAAGAATTATTCACAACGAGTGTGGTGAAACACTGGCATAGCTTGCCCAGATAAGTAGTGGATACCACATCCCCAGCAACACTCAAAGCCTGGTCAGACAGGGCTCCGAGAAACCTGATGTAGTTGAAGAGGTTCCAGCCCACGGCAGGGAGTTTGGACTAGGTGGCCTTTAAAGGTCCTTGCCAACCCAAACCATTCTGTAATTCTGTGATTGGGGATGTGGAAAGCATGGTGAAGAGACTTGAGTGTCACAGGTAACAAAGCTATCAGGGAAGCATCAGGAAGACCTGGGTCAGGAATGGGTGTTGTGATGAGCCCTGGGTTGGTAAGGGGAACAACAGAAACTTCATCCTGTCCCTGACTGAATGTACTGTCACTACACCAAACCAGGAAAGAGTCTCAGAGTGCTGCCTGAATCTCAGAGGAGATCTGTACAGCTCAGGAACAAACCAGCTCTCACAAGAAGTGTGGAGAGCTAGGGCTGTTAAGTACCCTTACACCAGGGGTCATACCTTTGTGGCAGCTGTAGAAATAAACCAGACCTCAAGCTTTGCTGCTTCTCACCACCAGTTTCTCTACATGCCTCTTCCTGCTCAAGAAGGGTGGCAGTTGCTGGAAGCAAGTTTCAAACCCAGTGGATGCAGAGAAAAGTCCTAAAATAGTGCATTAATTCCTTTGGCTGATCCAGAAAGCAACTGATCCTGTGTCCACAGACACCTGCACGATGGAGATACTAACAGAGCCTAGGGACAGCAGCCATCACTCCAGAGTATAAGTCGCAAAATGTCAGCAAAACTATCAAAAGGGGGAATTTATTCTTCACAAGGTTATTCTACAGGTAAAAAAATCTGTGCAACATCTTGCCATCTTGATGTGGCTGATGTCAAGGTTATCCCTCCTTTCTGGTGGACTCCAGGGGAGATTAGATAAGGCCACAGAAAACAAATTAGTCAAAGTTTACTAAATATACAGAAACAACACTTGGTACAGGAACTCCTGATGTGCAGATGGTTGGATGTGAGGGAAGTATCATTTTAGAATTGACCACTGAACAGGTTGTGCTCTCTTGCTTTTCCCTGGACAACTACTTTTGGTCAGGGCCACAGACTGGATGTGAGAGCAAACTGCAGTATAGATAGTTTTTGATGGCTCCTGTTGACATGAATCATCTTTCTATTCCTTAGTACTGGAAAAAGCTCACAACAACCCTCCTGAGTTTCCCCTAAGATGGTTGTAAAACAAACCCCACTGTCCATCTCCAGTTTTGTCTGGTACAGCCAGGAGAAGCAGTAGGTAAAGGTAGCCACGTTTGGCCTGACAAATCCTCCTGGACCTGTGCAAAGCAGCCCACAGAACTGGGTCTAATGGGCATATGTCTGTGCAGAAGGACAAGCACCCCTCATGAGCAAACCCAGTGCTCAGAGGCAACAGGGGACGAACAGAAGTAGCAAGACATCTTTCCTTCGATCATATGATCCAGTTGCAACAGGAAAAGTCTTAGAGGTAGGATTTCTTGGATTTAGAAGTGGCCATGGTTTGGGACAGTTCATCTGTGTCCCTTGGGAGGAGAGAGCATATTGGGCTCAGTTATGGAGGAGCCATAGAGGGAGATCAAGCACAATGCAGTTCATCTGCTCACAGACTGGAAAGGTGAGGTCGTATAGACCTGGTTTTGGCCAGGGCATTGAGAAGACTTTCACAGAAAAAGTAAGACTGCATTGGGCTTTTGACTCAGCACAGGGGCTGGGGAGCACCGGAGGAGCACCCAATAACCCAGAAAGGCAAGGGGGAGGCAGAATGCCCCCATTGTCCTGCTTGGGGTGAGAGGTCTAAGGGGTACCTGAGTGTGTGAAATGCTCTTTTGAGGGGCGAACAAGGCAGGGCAAGGAAGACACCTGGGCTTACCCAGGAGATACTAAAGAGAGGATGGAGAACAAACAGCCAAAGACTGCAAGAAGCAGCAGAGATTCTCAGCACGCATCCATGCCAGGAAGCCTGTGAGACAAAGGTGGATCCCAGGAGCAGCCAGGAGAGACAGCTCAAGAGAGGCCATGCCAGAGAAGCAGCAGCTGGCTCGTCTGTGTCTTGCCGCAGGGACCCCTCACGCCCCGCGCTGCAGGACCTAGCGGGGAGAGCGGAGTGCTGGACCTGGCTGAGAAACACGGAGCAACAAGTCTCCGAGGCTGCTGCTGGCGCACTCGGGGAGCGGTCGCAGCGCACAAAGGCGAGGACCCCGACGAGAGCCGTTCCCGTCCGCACCGCGGATCCCGGGAGGGGCGCTGCCGCCTGCCCGCGCCGTCGGGCTGAGCCGGTGCCGAGACGGCGGCGCGGCGGGCAGGACGGAGAAGAGCGGGGCTGCGGCAGCCGCCGCGCCGCGGGACCTGCTCCGCCGTCGCCCTGCGGGGCGGGCTCGGGGCAAACTTTAGAAAGCCGGTGGTCGCAGCGCGGTGACGCCGGAGGGACCGGCCCGGGCCGCCGCACCAGGCTGGGGACAAGGCGCAGCCCCGCGCCGCAACAAACGGGACCGGGACGGGGACCAGAACCAAGATCGGTGCGGGCGGGGAGGGCTGCGCACCGAGACGTGGGACGCCCCGCCGCCTTCCTCCTCCCTCGCCCCGGGCCGAGTGCCAGGACCTCGGAGAGCTCCGTGAGACCGGTCCGGCCGCGGCCCCGGGCCGCGGCGCTCCAGTCCCGCCGTGGCGTCCCCGTGACCGGCCGCTCTCCCGCCCCTCCCGCTCCGCGGCCCGGCCGAGGCAAGCGAAGTTTGGCTCCCATCCGGGAAAGCTTCCATCCGGGCCCGGGACGGAGGGGAATCGGCTCAGTACTCCGAGCCGGGCCGGGAGTGCGGCCGAGGGCAGGTCCCGCCGCCACCGGGTCCCGCTACGCCGCCGTCTTGCCCGCCGCGCCCGGCCCCGGCACCTCCGCTCCGCGGCTGCCGTCCTGGCGAGCTCCGGCCCGCAAGACCGCCTGCTCCCGGTGCCGCTGGGACGGCGGAGAGGAGCCGGGCAGGTCTCCCCGGGGCTGCGCTGGTCCGGGTGAGGCGGGGCGGGTGCTCTGCGCCGGGCAGGACGGGCCCGCGCCGCTCTTACCTGCAAGGCCAGGGAAGGGCTCCGGGAAGTGCAGCGGCGGCTCGGCCGGCCCCTTGTCGCGGCCCGGGGGCAGCTCCTCCGCCTCCAGGCCGTCGGCGCCGCGCCGGCAGCCGGCGTCGGGGGTGGCGCGCGGCGGGGGCAGCTCCTGCGGTGGGTAGAAGCCGTCGGGGGGCTCGGAGAAACTGGGCAGGGCGGTGGTGAGCGCCACCATGGAGGGCACGGCCTGGCCCAGGCTGGCGCAGAAGGTGTTGGTGAGGCGGCCGGCGAAGGAGGCGAGCGGGGCTAGCGGCGGCAGCCCCGACTGCAGCGGGGCGTGGGACAGCGCCTGCGGTAGCACCAGCGGCCGGTACGGCATGAACATGGGGTAGCCGGTGTAGAGCAGGTGCCCGGAGCGCGGCGGCGGCGTCCCAATGAGCGAGTCGATGGAGAAGGCGGTCCCCTGGCCGCCGGGTCTCTGCATGGCGAGCGGGCGCCTCCGGCTCAGCCGGCACCAACTTTCCGGCGAGCTCGGGCCGCCGCCAACTCGCCGCGATCCCGCCGCCGCCGGGCCCCGCCGCCGCGGCCCCGGCCCCGGCCCGCGCCCTCCGCCTCCCGTGGGCTCCGGCGCCCGGCGAGAGCTGCCGCCCGCCCGCCCGCTCGCTGGCTCGGCGCGGCGGAGTGGAGGCGCGCTCGGAGCCGCCCGCCCGCCCCGCCGCGGGGGGGCCGGGCCGGGCCGCCGAGGGGAGGGGGGAGGAGGGGAGGGGAGGCGGGCGGGGGTGTCGCCCTCTGCTCTCATCCATCTTCTGCACATCACGGTCGAGTTCCTCCTTCAGCGCCCGCTCCGGCGGGGCAAGGCGCCCCGCTCCCCCGGCGCGGCCGGCCCCTGGGAAGGCGCCTCCCCCTCCCGCCTCATCAGCTGTTATTAATGGTGATTGATGATTAGCAATTACGGGGCCAGGACAAGGGTGCTTTTGTGGGGACGGGACGGGGCCGCGCCCCTCCGCACAGCCCTCTCCGGGCCCGGGCCCGCGGACGGGGCGAACCGGCTCCGCTCCGCCCGGCACCACCCTGGCTCCCGCCGCCGGACCCGAGCCGGGCCTCCCGGCAGCTCCTGGTGGCCGAGCCCGCGGGGAGCGGTCCGGGGACGGCAGCGAAGGGCGGGCTCCAGCGCCCCGACGGACCGGCCCTGGCCAGGCACCGGCCGCGCCGTGCCGTGCCGTGCCGTGTCTGCAGACCGCCCGAACAGGGCGCGGGGAGAGCGACCACGGGGCAGGGGCGGGACTGCCCCTTTCTCGGCCCTGGAGCCTTGTCAGCTCGTAGCGGAGTCTCCGTGAGACCGGCGGGCTCGAACGCCGCGGGGCCGGGAGGACCGCGGGGCCTCCCGCGGACGCACCCGGGTCAGGGTGGGAGGCGGTGGCGCATCCTGAAATGTCCCCTCTTGCTGCTCCACCGCGGCCCCGACACCGCTCGCCCCCCCGCACTCCGCGTGTCGGACTCGTCCCCCGGGCACGGCCAGCAGCCCTGGTGCGCATCGCTCCACCTGCAGAGCCGGCGAGAGCCGTGCGAGGAGAAAGCTCCCGAGCCGCGGCTCCGCTGTGCTCTCTGTGTCCGGAGGGACATCGCCTGCCTCTGGTGGGGAGTCCCCGCGCTAAAACAGAGGACTTTCTGCCCCCAGCTCGGCATTTGGGTTGTCCTGTCTATAGAGAGCTGCTCACCAGACCTGCAGCAGGCAAACGGAAAGCCTGCTTCAGAAGAGTATCAGGATTTTTAAAGTGATTGGAAGCCAGGAAATGCAAGCTGGAGTCATGTCTATGCCTATTCCAGCTGTAGTTTCAGTGGCACAGTGACACTCCAGACCTCTAGCTCTCACTTAGGGGTATTCCTCTTCTCAAGTCCCCTGTGTGTTCCTGCCTGCATTTCCCCTTTGACCAGGGTTGCATCACCCCTGGCTGCTTAGCTACCCAGGCTGCCTGGTGGCATCGATATCTGTGTAAACACATGGATTTCTCTACCATCACCTTCTGCTTTGTCCCTGAGGTTGTCTGGAACACCACTTTGAAGTGTGTGTTTTCTGTGGGACATGACAGCCCAGCCATGGAATTGGACACTTGGATCCTGTGTGGAGCATTTAAGTGAGGCAAAATAGGCCCACTGTACTTAAAGTCGGCCTTCCTCCACTAAACAGGCACAATCAGAATCCCCAGGGCCCAGATATGACATCCCACAATCACCTCTTTCTTGTCTTTTGTGCCTTTTTCTGTGGCACATCCTTGTGGTCCCAAAGAATTATCCCTCCACAGCAAGAACAGCCCTGCTCCAAGTGAGGGAAATGGGTGTGGAGAAGTCGATGGTACAATAATCACCCAGGCTCAAATATTGAATCATAAAACTGAGGCCTGGCATAGGGGATCCCTGTCACCACTCTGATGCAGACACCACCTGCCCTTGGATTGCTGAGAGTGTGAGATGTTCATCTTTGCAGGTCATTGACTGGCTGTGGCCCCTAGTCAGGATTAGGGCCCAGATTCCAGGGTGGGAAGGAAAATGGCAGTGACAAGCATTTGGATTAATCTCACCACAGAGACCAGTTGTGACACAATAAGGGACATTGCTCCAGATCTGCTGGTCAGCATCCATGTTCTGTCTGGCCTTGCCCCAGCTCTCTGCCTCATCAGATGTTTGTGGTAAAGGGACCTTCAAATTGGAGTCATCTTCAATGCACATAGCTCGGGTCCATTCCCTGCTACGAAAGCACCTTAGACCATGGAGACAGTGAAAGCATAGCCATGTGTTACTGGATCTCAAGACTGCGCTCAAAAAAGGCCCAGATCCAGGCTGTGCAAGCAGCTTTCTGACTCCTGAGCAAATACAATTTGATCACTTGTTCGATGAATCTTTTCTGTGTAACCAACCCACACCTCACACCTGCACATAGGTTAGCAAGATATTTGAGAGCAACAGGAAACTGCTGTCTTTAGCGACCTTGCTGGAGAACTGAGCGAGCTGGGGTGAACTGTGTCCCACAGGAGGGAGGATGGCAGCCCGTGCCACAGCGCAGGTCCTGCCCGAAGAGCACAGCACAAGCTCGATACTGCCCTCTGCACAGCAGCAGCTGCGCCCTGCAAGTCCCTTCTGATGTCTCCAAGGTTAAGGTTCTGCTTACCTGATCATACACTTGCATTCCTGCAGCCCCCATCTCCCTTCGAACACTGAGTCTGTTCCATGCTAGGAGCAGCAAGGAAAGGCTGCTTCCAGAGGGGTGGGAAGCCAGGCAGGAAGGGCTGTAGCAAGGCAGGGGCTTCACTGACCAGGGTGCATTCCCACAGGGCCTGAGGAAGGTGAGCAGAGCAGATCTGATGACAGATGGCTTCATCCTATGAGTTGGCCCTGGCCTTAGAGAGTCAATCCTCCCCCAAGGAGGGGGGAATGTACTCAGGGCCCCAGCAATTTACTCCACTTTGGTTTACTTTTTCTCATGAGACTTCGTAGTAGAGGTAGAAACTCATGTGCAAATAATGAAACAAAGATTCAGAGAAGGATATGCTGAAGGACTATAGAAAAAAAAAAAAAAGTTGTGAGAATAATAAAGCAAAGATGTGCTGCTATACTCTCATGTGTACATCAAATAGGACAGAGCTCCCACATCCACCATCCTCACAGGGTGGAATGAGGGTCCAGGCTGCACGTCCACCCATTGGACTTCCATGGGCTTTCCCAATTTCAACTGTGTAACCTATGCTGAATCTTCCACAGCTGCTTGCTGCCGAGTGAAATGCAGTTTCCATGGCTTCCATTCGAGGCTCAGACCTCCTCTGCTCAGATGCTTCCTGGGCATCTTTCACTCTCCACACACCTCTGCAGAAAGCCCCTTGATTCCAGTTTAAAGAGCTTTATCCCTCCCTCTCAAGGAACCGGTGTATTCCCTTAATGTGCCTGAAGATAGTGTCCAACACGCCAGGTACAGCAGAAATATTAATTGTGTGTGCAATTTGTGAAGTCCCATGTCTCATTGCACTCTCAGCTGTTGATGGAGATGTCTCAGGACCTTGCTAGGTATATTATCAGACACTGAGTTTAAAAAGAGTCTCAGGAGGAGACCTGCTCTCTCCTGTTTTGGGGTCACTGCGTCATGGCTTGTGTTTTCCAGTCTCTGCAGGTGGTCCTGAGTCTCACCAAGCTGGGCCCTGAGTGCTGAATTCAAGTCCAGTCTCTACAAGCAGTGCCCTCAGCAATCACAGACCAGCCTGGCCCATCTCCTCCATCCTCAGTCTGCCTTTGCTTACCACCTCTCTTCTCTGTTTTCTGCATTAGAACTGCTCAAGCTTCCTCCTCCTCCTCATTCCTTGCTGCAGACATGTGAACATGGATAGGTCCGTTTGCCTGCTTTTCTGGAGTCAGTAGGAAAGCCTGGAAAGTGTCCTGCTCAACACTTCGCACGTGGGACAGTGCCTGCACTGAAGGTGGTGCAGGACCTGTCTGATCAGCACAGAGAACCCTGGAAGAAAACCATCAGCCTTTAAAAATGTCCTTGCTCAGAACCTGCAAACTGGGGTCCTCAGAGGCTCTTAATTAAGGAAAATTTGATCCCGTGCTACTGGGCAGGAAAAGAACCACCCAGGCCATCTCTCCTCTCTGAGGTGGAGACTCAGGAGTGTGTTCCTGATGCACCAGCTGTTGGCCAAATACAGGCCAATTAATTTTTGCTGTATCTGTAATGAGTAAAGTTCTGAGTAACACACACAGCAACCACAACTGCAACAGTTAAATCGTAATGACAGACTGGGAAATGAAAGCAGGTCTTCCTAATGGAAACTGCTATGCAGTCTTAACTTTATGCCTCTACCTGCTCCACTTACTATCTCTGCACGGAATCTAGCACAACAGGACTAAATCTAGTCACAGCCTCTAGGCATTCCTGCAATATAACTGCTAAACATATTAAAAGCAAGAGTAATGTTGTAAAATTATTTACTCAAAGTTTGGGAAGGCTAGAGAACAGGCTGGCTGTGGCCATGGTGTTGTTTGACCAAAGCTGGCTCTTGCCAGGCACAGATCCTGCTGCTGGGGGTGCCCATGGCGTGGTCCATCAGGCTCTGCAGCCACCCCCTGCCTGAGGTGGGCAGCAGCTCCTGTGCAAGGGACACCCAGGAGGTCCCCTGGCTGCTGCAGCCGTGGTCCCACAGGCTCTCCCTGATGCAGAGCTACTCCACATACTTCTGTCTTCAGCTTCTGACACTGAGACTGTCTGCGTGTTCATGCCTGGGGAAGGAACTTCAGAGCTAGGCCTGGCAGGGCCACAGCTAGAGCAATGAGAGTCCAGCATTCTCATTAACAGTAGCAAGAGCACTCCCAGGTGCTCGGATTTGCTGCTGACAAGATCTCAGAATGGAAATGTTTGTTTCTGTAGCCCTGGACAAGGTTCACATATTTCTTTGAGAATTGTTCTGCTTAGGAGAGCTAAGCCCTCCCTCACTCCTGTGTTTGGATCCTGCTCAGGGAGAGCAATGTTAACCAAATTCTTTAGAAATTAATGGGGCTTCTAAGGCACAGGGCTGGTACCTCTCGCATGTTTAGAAGCAGCTCTCTCCAAGTGCACTGCTCTGTCCCAGCAGTTATGTGAGCATGGCACTCCAGAAGACATCCTTCATCTGCAGGTCACTATGTAGACATACATCTCATGGCTCTGTGAGAGCCTATAAGCAAAGCTGATGTTCTTAGAGTGCAGGATGCAGGATTCAGAAAAAAAATGGGTTAGGCAACACTATGCAGAATACAGGCTGGCACATGAACATCGTTTCTTCAGCTGGGAGCAGAGCCCAGTAAAAGCACCACTGAAAACAGCCTGCCTCCATCGCCTTTGTGGCCTCCCCTCAGGTATCTACCCACACTGATGAGATCCCCTGGCACCTTCCCTTCTCCAGGCTGAACTGTTCCAGCTCCCTCAGCCTTTCCTCACAAGAGAGGTGCTCAGGTAATTTCTACATGTTAAGATATTGTTATTTTGTCACTGCTCAGGTTTTCTCCTAGAGGTGGCTTTTGTTGGTTGTTTCCTTGTCTTCTGACCATTCTTGCTGTCTTCTTCTACTACTGCAAAGTTACACCAAACCAGCCTGTGCTGACGCCTTTGCTGGGGATTCTTTCAGCGATCTGAAGCACCCAGCCGTGGTAAGCAGCTGCAGGTGACTCTGCTGAGGTGTGGAACGAGCCAGAGATCGGAGCGAGGCTGACAGCCCAAAGAGCACCAGTGTGCCAAAGGGGTCTGCTCCCCTGAGATTCATTCACACGTGGAGCACGGCACCTCAGGAGCATCAGCATCTGCTACAGCACCTCTGGATGGAAACAGAAGTGCAGGAAGTATTTGGAGACTTGTTTCTCACAAACACCAGAAGCCCTCGGCAGTGGGAAAGCTGCTGTCAGGACAAGCAAGCCCCCAGCATGAACCCAGCAAAGCTCTGCTCAGGGGGACTGTGTTGCTGTGGGGTTGGACACTGTGTCACAGCTAGGGGTGGACACTGAGGTTCCTACTGCCCCGAGTCAGGGCACCTTGCAGTATTTACTCAGGGGGGAATCACAGCCAGGGCTGTCAGGCAGCCCCCGAGGTGCTGGTGTGCTGGGGAAAGGATGGGGTTTGCCTTTGTGGGTCACATCCAGCCCTGGGGTCCTTCAGAACTCCTGACCACTGTCCATCCCACTCAAGGGAAACATGCTTGGTGCTGCCAAACAGCTGGGATGTCAAAGATAAAGCTTTTGAGAAAAGTGGTGTAAGACCAAATATTTAAATAATTTAATAAAAGCAGCATCCCCATTTATTTCAGACTGTCTTTCTCAGAAACCACTGCAGCCAGCAAATTCAGAGCAAGGAAGCTGATAGAACCAGTACAGACCAGTGGGGTCGAAATGAAGGAAACTCGGGTTAAGTCAGAGCTGTCAATGAGGTGTAAATGGAGTTAGCAGTGCTGGGAAGGGAAACTGGAACTTATCATCCTGGGACCAAATACAGTCTCTGTGGTGACAGCAGCTTACGGCACCTAGTGAAGGTTCAGATATCTGTAATTAATAGCCCGGATCTCTTTGGGACTGGGCTGAGCACCATGCAGATGAACCCTGGTCTGGGCTAGCGCAGATACCCATGTGATTTAAAAACAATCCCTGAGATAAGAAATCTACATCCACCATGATAACCTGTTCTAAGATGCAACTAACTAGAAGATTAATTGCCCTTGCTATTAAAAATGTCTAATTTCTAATATGTGTTTGCCCAGCTTCAGTTTCCAGCCCCTGTATCTGGTTTTACCTCCAAGGAAAGGCCTGACAGTGCTGAATGAGCCCTGCAGGGAGGTTGAGCAAGAAGGCATAGTAGGGTCCAGCAGTGGCTGTCAGGGGACAATGAAGGGGTCCCTGGCACTCTTTGGGAGGGGGTGTCTCTCAGCCCCTCCTGCCCTATGAGGCCTGAGAGGAGAACAGGCACCCACACCTGCACACAGGCTACGAGGAGTAGCTTTGGTGTGTCCAGCCCCTCACCTCCACAGCTCCCACTGCCAGGAGCTGCTGCAGCCCATCACCCACTCGTGGTGCTACTCTGAACCCCTGCTCTCTCTCAAACTTTCCGAAATATCAACCCCAGAGCCGAGTGCCCCTGCAGCAGAGAACCCAGAGACCTGCAGGCACTGGGCACCTGCCCCAGGTGTCTGTATGCAGCACACATTCTGCATAATGAAATCCAGCAACTCAGTAAATACTTCTGCTCTGCATTTGAAACAACTATGTGCAGTATTCATATTTTACAGTGGTAATGAAATACTTTCTATTCCATCAGTAATTAAGGAAGATGCTAAACTGTGTAAGTAACAATTTTTATAATGTGCAGGAGAAGAGCTTACATCCAAGAGTATTTAATTGGCTAATGAGTTCACAGAACCATTTATTTTTTTCTTTATAACAAATCATGGCACACTGGGGAACTTAAAATTACTAAGGGGAAAAATACCAATGTCTTGTATTTAAATGTGTTCACATGGATAGCCAAGAAACTATACAGCAGTTAGTTCAACATACCTCCCAAGCAACCACAAACAAGCAGTCAACGGATGTTCTGGGTAAGTCGGTAAAAACTAGAACCCAATTCAATGTAATTTGAAAGAGGTACTTTCAAATTATTTTATGTAACTTTTTTATAAGCCTACAAGTTTGATAGAGCTAATGAGAGAGATGGGGCATGCTTAGAAATCTGTAAGTCATTTGACTAAGTTCTGCATGGCATTCTAATAAGAAAAATTAGCTGTATGCTGCAGTTAGTGTCCTCAGTTTAACTGATCCAAAAGAACTTGGTGGCTGAGGAGACTTCTCTTACACAGCCTTTTGACAGGTGTGTCTCTATTCTCTTCACATATCAATGCTATATGCTATTTGCAATGAGGGAGAAATAAAAAAAACATTGCTGATAAAATGACTGGAATGGATAAAAATGAATTGTTGGGACGGTAAAAGTAACAGGTGCACTTGCCCAAGAAAACCTGCTCAGGGTTGCTGGAAACACCAGGCTGAGGGACAGCCTGGCTGGTTACACTGAAGCGTGAGGTGCAATGTGTAAGTGAGAAGGATGAGGCTTCACCTTAATTCAGGGACGGCGTCATGGGTGTAACAAGTGTGAACAGCATCAGAGGCTGCAACATCTGCTGTGGAGCACAGAGCACACTGACTGGAGGCATCTCTGCCCAGGCCTCTCCTGGGCCGTGCCAAAGGGCAAATCACATCAAATATGGATCCAGAGCTCCTGAGCGTTGGTGTGGATTTCAAGTGCACTGCAGAACAGCCCCCACACAACCACAGCACTGTGCACAGCTGTCCTCCCTCCATCTCAAGGGATGCACTGCAACAAGTAAAGGCCCAGGGAAACCTGTGTGTGGAGTCAGGGCTGGGTGACAGCTTCCACACAGGAACAGCACAGCTGAACACAATTCCAGCCCAAATAAGGAGAGAAATGGCACACATCTCTCTCGTTTTAAATTATATGAAGAGAAACAGAAAAATTTTGCCCATATGTTCTTACATGGCATCAAGTGAAATATAATAGTCACAGCAGAAATATAAAGAGAGTGAGGTGATCAGTGCACTGAGTAATTCTTCTCTCCTTCCCACAAGGGCATCAGAATGCTCAAATATACACAGGCCCAAGAAGTGACTGGTCAAATTTATGGCAGTAAAAAAAAAAATCTCTCCACAACCAAAAAATACAAAGATGTCTTTTTGACTCAAAACTGCCTAAGAAGCAGTTTACAACACAGGCTGAGTACAGACATCCTGGGAAAGAGCTTTTCTCTGCTTGCTTTGGCTGTAAGTGCCTTACTGTTAACCCCCATTATGGCTCCCCATGCTCTTTACTGAGGAACAGGAAAAACTGAGTGAGAGTCAAGCAGGTGCTTGAGGCTGGGAAGCCTGCAGAGTGTGCTGGTTGTCTGTCAGAAGGGATACCAGGGATGGGAAGGGCTTTGGCTGCACAGGGAGGGTCAGCAGGATCCAGTGGCTGCAGCTGGGATGGAAACTTCTGTCTAGAACTGGGATGACTCTTTCCCAGAGCACCTCACTTGAATGGCTGCACTGAAAATGCAACAGTGGACTCGCATCTCTCCAGCCACTCCTAAGGCTGCGTCTTGCCATGACTGTTCTGCTGACAAACCCAGGTGGATGCTGAAGCTGGAGCACCAGTCTGTGCCCAAGAGATATGCCCAGCAAAGCCAGGACACAGAAGTGACTGGCAGCTGCCTGTGCCTGCAGCAGCTGACAAAAACACACCAGAACCATGTGCCCCTGTGCTAACAACCCCCTAGGTTCAGTGTTCTCGGTAGAAATCACAGCCCTCCCACTCAGGGTGGTTAAATTTCCTTGGAAAAATTGTCCCAGCAAGTACATCCAATTTCCCCTTTAGAAACCTGAGAAAATAGCAAAGGTTGTTAAGTTGCCGGAATGTGCTCTGGAACATTAAATCTTTTTAAATCTGTTATTGTAAATGTTTTTGAAAATCAATTGCTAATCAGTTAGCATAACTGAGTTGAAGTCAGAGCATTTGTACTCAGCCTGCATCTTAGCTTGAACCTTTCTGATTGTTTCCTTTTGCCAAAGGGCTGGAGTTCCCAGAACCTTTTCTGGTGGATTGGTTTGATTTGGTTTAGTTTTATCACCACCAGTTTCCTTGGTCATGCTGTAAAAGGTTCTCCCTTTTTCCTACCAGCCTCATATTCCTTGAAGGCTGTTATCCAGTGGTATCCTTATGCATAATGAACTCGTGCCCTTTCAATTTCGGTAGGAGCACAGACAAAATTCAGTTTCTGAAGATATGTGGCCAGGGATGGCCTGCTCCTCTCAGTCATCCACCTGACCTCAGCCCTCCCAGGCACACCAGGATGCTCTGTGTACAAGTCTGGTGGCTCTGAGAGGAACCCTGGAATGTACCTGCAGCCCCCACATGGGTCCTTTGTTGCAGCAGGTGCCCATCTGGGCCACCTTCATCCAGGAAGGACTAAGATGTGCCAGAGCTCCATCTGCTACTGCCTTTGCAGAAACCAGACCCTGTGTGTTCATCTCTCCCCACTGGGAAAGCTGCAGCTGCCCTCATCAGCCAGTGCAGAGCAGCCTTAGAACTGGCAAAAGCAACCACAAAACCCAAAAAAACAAGAAACAGCTATAAGCCTAACAGTCACAAATAACAACTACAAAATAAAGCAAACTATTAAATTCAACTCTTCCCTGTTTTAAGAAGATATTATTATAGCTGAGCATGCATTACTGAGCACAAGTTAATGCAGGCATAGGGACATTGTTACAGGGAAGGATGGGATATCTGTCCAGGTCTGCTGCTCTGCAGGCTGCCTTCAGACCAGGACACCAGGTCAGGCTATGGCAATCCCAGATTGTGCTGCCACCAAAAAGGATAGACCTTCCTGTTTCTGTTCCTCCTTTGCTCACAGGCATCATCTGGCTAAAAATGAACTCTTTAAAGTGGTGATTAGGCTTTGGGAACAATATAACTGGCCCTGATGATGTAAACAGATGACCTGAGCAGACAAGCTGGTTCAGCCAACAGGAAGGAGGTAACTAACTTCAGTTCCTACACTGGTGCAAGGGAAATGCACTGCTGGTCCATGGCGAGAGGGCAGGCCATTGGCCGTGCGTGTATTTTTGGCTCCCCTGTACACTTCATCCCAGTTTTGCAGATCATTGTGATCACCCCAAGCCAACACCTCACCTCTCTGCCCCATATGTCATACAGCACACAGCTAAACCTTCCTGAGAAATACCACCTCTATACTGCAATGGTACCTACATAAAGACAGGCACAAGTGCTTTCCAGGCACCTTGTGTGCACCTGTGGCACACGAACACATCCCTCTCATACCCTGGCAGCATTCCTGCTGTGGCACAGCGGCAGGGCAGGCACACCAGGAGCAGCGCGATCAACCTCTCAGTGTGGTTTTGGGCTCACGTCCTCAGAGCAGCAGGACTGAGGGCACGCAGCTACCACCCATGTGCCCAGAGAGGTGGGAACCGAGAGCACCCCTGGGTCTGTCACACAGCCTTTCCTTCAGAGCTGCATCTTGCAGAGTCCTGCTGCTGCCGTGGCCGTGAGGAGAGGCCAGGCAGAGCGAGTGCAGCATGAGGAGGGACCAATGCCCTGGGTACCTTTGCCAGCCACAGCTGTGGTGCTCAAGGCACTCCTTGAGCCACAGGCAGTAATCGAGTTTGCTTACAGCAGATCTTTAAAGGATGGATAGTGCTTCCTTTTCTTCATAACTGCATCTCCATGTCGCAGGATAAAACATTTCCCTTCACCTTGTCAAGGGTGTGGTGCAGCCCAGCGCAGTGTGAGCCTGCAGCGCTCCGGGTGCTGGCTGCTCTCTGCCCAGGGGAGCAGCAGCCTCAGGACACATTCCTCCTCACCAGCACTGCACAAGCACAGCCTTCCTGCCCCAAGCTCCTGAGCCAGGTAACCCAGACATTGTACCTTCACAAAAGGGCTTTGATTGGAACACCCACCGCACATTTCCCTCAGAGAAGCAGGTGGGTGCACAGGTCTGAGTGCATATGCCACCACCCATGGCACGTCAGGTGACCCCTGTCAGGACAGTCTTCAAAGAAATGTAGAAGTCGTGCTCAGGTAGGTATTAAGAACAGGATTTATTCCAAGCACCTTTGGGTACAGACCAAGCAACTTGACTAAAGACAGGACCACAGCAATCATCCAGGGCACCAGAGTTGCCTAGTACAGGCTAGAGCATTTGGATTTGGGACAGGGAAACTGGTATCCTACTACTAAGCCTGGGACCCATGCAGTGTGCTCCTTGTACCACAAATTTCTCTAATTCCCATACCTCCTTTTGTTAGTCTGGGGTTTTCTGTATTAGTATGGACAAACAGAAAACTCCAAAACAGGTGCACAATGCACAGCACAAGGCTGGCTGGGACTGGGACACAGCAGCAGGCCTGGCACGGGGGCCGATGGGCCGGGCAGGAGGGGGTGAGGGGAAGGGGGTGGCTGCAAAAGTACAGATCGCAGTGGCAGGGGTGGAACATCTGCACAGAAAGGCACAGCAGGACTGGAACTGCCACCCCTAGTAGAGAACGTCCTCGAAGCCGAGCAGCAGGAACTGGTGCAGGGCACTCGGCAGATGTAGCTGGGACAGCACCAGAAGCAGCCGGCCCTCCAGGAGGGTCCTAAGTGTGCAGCGAGCCAGGTGCTGCAAGGAGCGAGGTCTGTGCCCCAGGGAGAAAAGTGACTGGTAGAAACATGGGTATTTCTACAGAGAGAAGAAAGGACCAGAGGCATGCAAAGCTGAAGATATCACGCTGGGACAGAGGTAGAACCAGACATCCACTTGCCTCACTATGGAACGTTCTCCCTGCCCCAACAGCCCACACCGTCCCTGTGCCTGCAACCCCCACGGCCAGCCCCAGCTCTGCCCAACCCCCTTCAGGCCTAGATGCCCCTGGCAGCCCACCAGAAGCTGGAGATGTGTTCTTCAGGCAGCAGTCAGCATTTGCCCCCTCACCTGTACAACCTCTGCTGGAACTGCTTCCTCCCAGTCCTCGGAGACGCGCACATGGCTGTAGCTGTTCACCAGGGCCTCGATGACACGCGGGCAGCTGTGGCAGCACCGCAGCACCTGGCCGGAGAGAGAGAGATGCCAGAGGCTCCCAGGAACAGGGGCCAGCCAGTGTTAAATGAATAAAGCAGGGATTGAGTAAAAAGCCTTCCGAGGATGCTCGGGCAGTACAAGAGCCTGGCTGAGGCTACACCCAAGATAGACTCCGAGTCACAAGTTGTCATATTTTTATAAGTTTTGGTTCATTCACATATTGGAGTTAATTGTCCAATTACAGCTTCAGGTTATGAAGCCCCATCCTCCCAGACTGCTCTTCTCAATTCATGTTGTTTACACTTTTTGGGCCTGAAGCTGTAAAGGTGCTCTTGGTTCTGGGGCTGGAAAAGGATTGTTTTGCCTGACTAAGCTGTGAAGGGAGCTTGCTAACACTTTATATAAAGTTCAGAGTTATATACTAATACAATACAGAATCCAGAAAATATGAAAGCTAGAACTTAAGGCATCAAGAACAGGTGATTTTCACAGGTACATTCTTCCTTCTCTCAGGATTTTTTCATAGAGCAGCACAGAGGAAAGAAAGAGAAAACAATTTCTGCTTCTGCTCCTTGTTTTTCCCATGTGGAATGTGTTTGGAGAATTGTTTACCTGGGGTGATTGCTTGATTGGATTCTGGTGAGGATTGTTTGAGCCTGATGGCCAATCCAACCCACCTGGGGCTGGACTCTCCGGAGAGGGTCAGGAGTTGTGAGGAGTTAGATATGGGAGTTAGAGAAAGTAGGTATGTAGTTTCAGAATCTTCCTTTATATAGTATATTAATGTATTATAGCATAGCTATAAATAAAGAAATCATTCAGCCTTCTAGAGTTGGACATCATCATTTCTTTCCACCAGGTTTGCCTGCATTTTACAATAGGTGGTCACCATCATTTGGCAAGCTCCTGCAAGCCCCACTGTCACCTCCTAAAGTACTGCTCAATCCAGATGTAGTAAATCTGGTAAAGTCCTGTCCTTCCCTCATTGTGACCCAGGAGAGAAAAACCATGGCAAATAAGGAGCACCAGAGCTTTGTAAGCACCTCCTTACAAAGAGGAGGACTGAGCCACCACTCAACATGCACAGCATGGCTGCCTTCAGCACAACCAGGTCCCCACAGCTTCTCCTCAGACACAGGAGCCATCCTAGATGGCTGGGGTGATGATCTCCACCAGCTTTACTGCTGCCAGGAGTTCACAAACACCAACACTCTGCTTTACACCAGACTCTTCACCTCACATTTCAGTAGTTGGAGCTGAGCCATTCCAGGGCAGGGACTGGCATTAATTTTGTGATCAGACAGAGCACAGCACACTATACCTCTTTGGAGAGCCACACCAGGGTCTCAGGGATGCAGGATTGTGCCTCGTTGGTGCACAGCTGCAGAGACATCTGTACCTATGTCTAAAGCAGTGCTGTGCCCATGTCAAGGATGGCACAGAAACGCAGAAGACTTCACACATATTTGTACAACATCTCTGGTGTGTCCCACCCTGGCGTGGGTGCAGGTGATAAACCAGTGCCGTGTACCTAGCCACAGTGCAGCCTTTGGAGCACAGCCCACCCAGGCAAAGCCGCACAGAGGCAGATTTCCCTGGCTCCGGGCTGCCACTCCCCATGGCCCAGGCCAGCAGTAGCTGTCAGAGTCTATTCTGGCTGTACCAGTGATCCTCATTATCTGGCGTTAATAGGAGATTAATTAGTGTTAATTGTTGATTTTCCTGTATTTTCCCAAAGGGGAGAGCAATCTGCTGATCTCCGGGCTGGGTAATTATTGCAGTGCTCAGGAATTAAGACAGGAAATTAACCCTTTGTCTGCGGGTGACTTGCAGAGACAGTGGGAGCTGGAGGGTGTGCCTCTGAGAAGAAACACCTCCAGAGGAAAAGGACCAACAATTTCCAGAGCAAGTAATAATGGAAACTGGGTGAGTGCTGTCCACACAGCTTAGCAGACAGAAGCAGGAGAGTACTACAGCAAAACACACCCCAGGAGAAAACATCAGGGATTCCCATACCAATAATGCCAGTTCTCCCTTCCAAGGCGCTAGGCAGGGCAGGGCAGCAAACAGGCTGCCTTGGAACAAGCCCTGCTGTGACAGGAGGGTCCACTGGAGCCCTGGTGGTGTTCCCAGCCCTTCCCCTCCCAGCACACTCCCCGCACCTTGAGGAGGGAACCTGGCCAGATGCGGACGGCTCCGTGGTTGAGCAGCGCCCGTACCACGAGCTCTGGGTGATGCTCCAGCTTGTAGGCAGCCACTTGCAGGATGTTGTGCAGGGCCGTGTTGCCGCCGTAGTTCATGACATTGACATTGGCACCCCGGGCCAGCAGTAACTCTGCGATTTGAGCGTTGGCATTCTTGCAGGCCAGGTGAAGTGGGTGCTGCCGGTCCCGATCCTCAGCGTTGATGCTGGCACCGCTCTCCACCAGCAGCTGGCAGACCCGGTAGTAGCGGTCCATGTCCTGGGGCTGATGGTGCTGAGCACAGGCAGCATTCAGTGGTGTTTGCCCCTCCTTGTTCTTCACCTCCAATTCAGCACCCTGGTGCAGAAGCAGCCGGACGTGCTCTGCCAGGCCATGCCGTGATGCCACATGCAGTGCCGTGTCCTTCTCCTCCTCTGTCTGGCTGTTCACGCTGGCACCATGCTGCAGCAGCAGCTGGACACACCTGTGTGGGCCAAGGCGACTTGGTGACCATGCCTCATCTCCACCTCCCAGCTCCCACATCTGCACCACCCCAGCTTTTCCCCAGAGTCCAAAGATCCCTGCTGCTCATGCCCTGGAGCAGTGTTTTTAAGCCAGGATGAATGGTGAGCAGAGATACTGTCACCCTAAATTCAGATAACTCTGCATAGACCTCTTAAAGTGCTGTCACACCTGATGCCTGCTGGCATGCACAGTGGAACTGCACAGGAACACCCTGAACATTACAATGTGACCACAGTGGATCTGTGCAGGAACACCCTGAATATTACAGTGTGACCAAGTGGATCTGTGCAGGAATGCCCTGAACATTACAGTGTGACCAAGTGGATCTGTGCAGGAACGCCCTGAACATTACAGTGTGACCAAGTGGATCTGTGCAGGAATGCCCTGAACATTACAGTGTGACCAAGTGGATCTGTGCAGGAATGCCCTGAACATTACAGTGTGACCACAGTGGATCTGTGCAGGAATGCCCTGAACATTACAGTGTGACCACTGGCTCCTCAGCTGCTTCTGCTGGGGACAGGAGCTTGCAGTCACCTCTGAGGTTGGACCTCAGAGGCGATCCCAGCGCAGGAACAGGCACCAAGGCCACCCCCATTCCGCACCCACCAGCCCACCCTCAGGGGAGAGGTGGGACCCCTCCTACAGGGGATTAGTCTCGGGGGGGGGAGGCAGGCTGCGCTCCCCCCGGCAGGACTCACTCGAGGGAGTCGGAGCTCTTGCAGAGGTGCAGGGGCCGGTAGCCATCCTCGGAGACAGCCTCGGGATCGGCCCCGGAGCCGAGCAGCAGGCGCACGCAGGCGGTGCTGGCGGCTGCACAAGCCTCGTGCAGGGCGGTCTTGCCCCCCGGAGCAAAGTCGACGGCAGCGCCGCGGAGCAGCAGCAGCCGCAGGCAGTCCGCGTAGCCCCGGCCGGCCGTGATGTGCAGCGGCGTGGTGAGCTCCTGCTCGTAGCTCAGCGACCACAGTCCTGCAGGGAAGAGGGGTCAGGGAGCCACGTCCAGCCGCGGCGCACAAAGACCTGCCACTTTCCTTGAAGTACCTGGGGTACAACCCCCGAAGACACGTGTGTTTCCCCTCAAGGGACATCAAGTCCCCTCCCTGCAAGATCCCTGCATTTGGACTAGCCCGCCAAAGGCAGAGATCCCTGGCAGGCTCTCAGCCTTGCGGACAGGAGCTCCAGGGAGCCGCAGCCTGCAGGAGAGGCTGTTCTGGTGAGAGTGCCCCTCACCCGCGGCTCAGGTGGGTACATGGGGCTTCTGTTGTCAGGGGCGCAGCAGATGAAGGGTCTGGGGCATGAGCAGGCTGATGGCAGTGAGGTGGCTGGGCCAAACAGCATGTGTGAAGCACCACAAACACAAGGAACCAGGCAGTAGAGAGGTGTCAGAGCCAACTGCCACACACACAGGGGACTCAAACAAGCCCTGAGCAGGGTGCAGACAACAAGCTACAGACAGCAGAGACAGACATCTAGAGCCTAGGAGAGAGCAAGGGGCTGAAATGTGCCAGCTCTCAAAGATGCTGACCCAGCACAAACCACCGCTGAGCCGGTGCTTTCTGCTGGCTAACAGCCTGCAGATGCTACAGGAAAAATCTCCTTAAACTGTGTTTCTTGCTGCCTACCCAGACTGAGCTGGAGGACATCCCAGACTGCATGGTGCAATCCTCTCGGCTCCTGCTTGCAGAGGCAGTATGGCACCTGTGTTTTCCAGGGCCAGGTTCAAACTGCACCATCTCATAGGTCTAACTCCTGTTGTGACAGTCTGGCACAACCCATGGTGGGAGTCCACAGCACAGAGCAGGCTGCACAGAGCAGTTCCCAAGCACTTAAGACAATCCCTGCGGGAGGGACCAGGTTTCCTGGATGCACCCTGCACTCTCAGAAGCGGGAACCCCCTTCCACAAGGAACACAGGAGAACCTGAGCACGTCCCCATGCTCTTGCTCCCATTCCCACTGCTCTGCAAGCCCAGTAGCACCCGTAACACACTGCCCCAGCAGCAGCCGTGCCCCGCAGCACACAGCCAGGCTGAGCCCCACTGCTGCCCCATACTCAGCCTGCGGGGATTGAAGCGGTAGTTCTTCCACTCTTCCAGGTCACTGGTGTCAAACACCGCACTGGGGCTCAGGTTGTTCTGAGGATCTCTGAGGATCTTGGCGACAGTGCCCTGATCCCCGGCCAGCAGGGCCTGCCAGAACACCTGGGCAGGGCCACATGCCTGCTGGGTGCGGATGGGCTCCTGGCTCTCATCTCTTCCACCTGTGACACTGCCCATGACGCCCAAACTCTGCTCAGAGACCAGGACAGGACCTGCTGGTGCACCCCAGCCAGGCTCTGAGGCACAGCCCCACCAGCAGCCTGTGTTTGGGCCCAGAATCTGCCTGCCAGCCCAGGGCATTCTGCAGGGAGGGGGAATGCATCACACCCCTCTCTTTGGCTCAGGCTGGGCACAGCTCAAGTCTCAGCTGTTCTATTCTGGGAAACCTTGTGACCAAATGCTGGGGCCAAGAGGCTGATAAAGGCTCTCCACTCAAGCAGCAGTGCCCTGCTGTGAAGACAAAACCCTCAGGAAGGGCAGGGGAGCTTAAAGTGTAGAAATGGGGATGAGACATCACTAAGACAACAGAGAGGGAAATGGTATCATGCCTACTCAGCATGTTGCCCACTGTTGCCCAGACCACAACAGCATGAGCACAGCAGCTCCACACACATCTCCATACCTTTGTTCACCTCTTGGCTCCACACACGTCTCCAGCACTGCACACCCATTTACCAGTTGCACCTGAGCCACTGGCATTGGGAAGATTTTTAAACAAGCTACAGAACAGCTATTTTTAATCAAAGCCAAAGAAGTGGTAGCAATAGGTACAAGGATGGGAAAAAATTGGGGTAATTATCCTTTAGACCCTCCCCACTTCCTCCTTTTTCTTGATATGCAGGCTTGCACAAAGCCCATGCATAGCTTTAGTGTTCCCTTTCAGTCCTCAGACACTCGCCTGGCTCGGCTGCTCACTGCAGTCCTGTCACCCGAGCTGGCGTTCTCCTCTGACCCCAGCTGGCTGCACACATCCCTCCTCGGTCACAGGAGAGCATGCCCTGCTCACATGGCAGCAGCACCCTGCACACATTGTTCACACCACGTGATCGAGAGAACATGGCAAACTGCATGGAAGGCTAGTAGAGTTCAGTTTAATTTTGTGTCATGGAACTATTCAGATCATGCAGTTAAGTGACCCCAGTAGACCACCAAGCAACAATTACCAGAGGACCAGTGCAGAGTGTAAGACAGGGAACTTTACCCTTCTCAGTAATGAAAATAAATGAATAAGTTCTATGCTGACAATATCCAGTTTGCTCTGTGTGTGCAAACTCCACCTTGTCTAACTGAAATGTAGCCTACAAAAAGGTAAAGAAAGGGAAGGCCCCGGTAGATGTTCTCACCTGGTGGGACCCTCTATTTACCCAAGGATATAAGCAGGTATACCATGAGAGCTTGAGGTTCCCAGTCACGCACCAGGGAGGCATAAAGCAGTGTAAGTATCAGTGACACTAGACAGTTTACACTTCCTCTGGGCACCTTAAAATACCAGTGAGGTGATCTGGGAAAGACAAGGTCACTAGAACCTACTGTTTAGGTCACTGAATTCTCGGAGCTTCTTCCTGCACCATCAGCAAGATACAGAGACACACCTCAGGTAGCATGAAGGTTTGTTTTGGTCTTTGTTCTGTATTCTTATCTGATAGATTTGGCAACACATTTTTGCTCTGTGCAAGATGAATGATCTTGTTTGGTTGGGGTTTTCATGTCTTTAAACTTTGTTGATTAGAGAAATTTCTGGATGAAGTTGTTTTATATTGATCCATTTTCTCTGGGGCACAAACCTTCCCCAGCAGAGAGACTGGCTGCTCCGGTGACTGCCAGCCTAGGATAACACCGGAGTTACCACACCCAGTCCGTGTTTTATTGACAAATGGCCTCACACAAAGGGTAATACCTTTAGGGATTTCATTCCTAAGTAGACTGTAACAATTCAAAACCTAGGTCTTACAAATCTTGCAGCTCGGTAAATAATCTTCACCACTCAAGCAGCAGCATGTGCACTGGCAAGACCACGCACCCTATTTGTCTCTTGCTGGAATGGATCCCCACAAAACTGACATCTGTCTAAGCACCAGGACATTTGGCCTTCTCCTCTGGGAAAGCAGCTTTGTCAACAGCTCTTCCATTCTCCTATGGGTGGCTTTTGCCACCAGCCTTCTGTTGAGGAGGCATTCTCCCAGATTTTCCCTAAACCAGGACCAATACAGTCAAAGGCCTTCCCCACTTGATGCTCTTAAATTCTGGGAGTCTGCCTGCACCACATCACTAGCTGACAGCAGCAAGAACCAGGGCACATCAGGCTGCCCAGCACACCTCTCCCTGGGCACACCAGCTGCATCGCTTGCTGAGAAGCTTATAGACAGTGCTGATGAGAAGGTAAGTAAAAGGGACCAGAGAGTATGGAAGCATGTGTAGTAGGCCCAAGATGTGCCTGACAAGGTAGGGATGGACAACTGAGATGTACAGAGAGAAGCACTAAGAATGATCAGCTCCTACCTCCTGTCACTGAGGAAAGTTTGCTTCCACCATCTTTCTCGTGGACTGGATTTCTGCTCCCCTTGTCAAACCTATCTCATGGAACAGAGCAGCATTCTGGTGCCTCTTCACCCATGCACACTCCCCACCTCACACGTATTTCACATCCATCCCAGCAATCTCTAACAGGACAGTCCTGAGGATGTGGTTCTCCAGCAACTCTTCCAGGGGCCCTATTCTCATAATTTCCTGGTAGATCTGCCTCATACCACCTTCAACAAGCCTGCTACTGTTTGTTGTACAGCCTTGGAAACTTCCTTCCTCACACTAAAGCTGTTCTTCTCAAGTCCTTCTTCCACCACTGGGGATTCCTTCCAATATTTTTCTTGGGTGCCTGAGCCCTATCCTTGGACCCAATCCTGGGTGTTTTCTATCCCATGTCCCAGCCACTCATACCCACCACGTTTACTGCTAGTCCAGCGCAGCACATCGCCCCTGGTCTCAATGATGAGGTTGACGGCTGCGCTCTTGGTGAAGTACTTCTGCACCATGTCCAGGTCTCCAGTGAAGAGTGCATTCTGCACCAGCAGATCCTGGCACTCCAGTGGCTCCAGGCGGCTGTGCTGGTGTCCCCAGCCTTCTGGGCTCAGGCTGTGCTCACTGTGGTGGGACCTCACACTGCAGGAATCCTTCCATGGAGCCGGCTGCAGCAAACGTTGAGGGGCAGAGCGGAGAGGGAAGGGGCAGTCCATCACAGGTAACTAACCAGAGAAGTCTGAGCCACAAAGAAAATGAGCTATTACAGCAAAGACCCTCTTGTTCAAGGGTTTGTCCTTTGCAGATTGCTCCTGGCTTCCAGCTCCCCTGCATCTGGCTGGACTCAGGCAGAGGCCTGAATCACCCAGTATAAATAGCCTGGCTTGGCAGCTCCTCATCACCACCTCCCCCTCTTCCCAGGGCTTATTTTCAGCTGCTAGGTGCAATCGCCAGCATGGACTAGGCACAGGAGAGGGGTGGCAGGCAGCCTGGAAATGCTCCCTTTGTGCTTGTTGGCTCTGCAGAGAGCCCCTGCTCCACACGGCGCTCCCACTGAGAAAGGGGCAGAGCAAGGTGGGGGCAACCACGGCAGGGAGGTAGGGAAGTGATGGGGAGCTTGGGAAAGGCCTGGATCAGACTTGGTGTCAGAAGTCATAAAGGACTAAGGACAGGGTCTTCCCCACAGGGACCAAAAGACCCTCACAAGCACCATACACTGCTCTAGCAATCAGCTCCTTCCCCAGGGCACCAAGGCTGGCTGCCCACAGGGCTGGGCAGGATACAGAAGGGCAGAGAGGTGAGCCACAAGAAAAACAGCTTGTACAACACTGTCACATTGGTCCCAAACTGTAATCAAGTTCTTTGTGGTGTGGCTGGAGATGCTGATCAAACAGGGAGCCAGACTTTGCATGTGTTCCTTTTGGCAGCTGTTTTCAGAGCAGAGAAAAGCGTTATGTAAGGACCTTGTAACTGAAGAGGGTCCACAAACCAGTCCCAGGACTGAGATCATGCCAAACATTACCACTGCCACAGCACAGATGCTCTGTGCCAGTGAGCACATGCAGCATCCCCCTGGTGCTGGGCTGGGAGCACACTGTTCTCCTGAAGGATGCAGTGGCTCTACCTCCAGCTCCACGTGGAACCCACATTCAAGCTTCAGAGTCTCCTCCAGCCAGGTCAGGGGCTCAGAGCAACAACCCTGACTTGGGGAACTTTGAGTACAGGAAGTCTGGATTCCCTAAGAGATGAGGAAAAGGACAAGCTAAGAACTCTTAGTTCCACTCCAACCTGTCTTTACAACTTGTGCTGTTCCAGGAACCAATGCCATCATTTTCACCCAGCTATGGGCTTGGCAGCAGAATCCCAAACTCCTCACACTCAGCACTATTCAGGCACCCAAGGCCACCCAGGGAAGGTTCCTGGGAGGAATGCTCTGACTGCAGGTGTCCCCCACCCCATTACCCCCTCCATGCTGCCTGAGGGAAGGCAGTGTGTTCACACTCAGCATCTCACAGGCCTGGGTCTGCACATTCTTGACTGCACCAGCTACCCTGGACATTTTCTCCCATTCCCATAGCTAACAACAACAAAAAAAAATCCCTCAAACCACTTCAAGAAAACCAGTCAATCTAAAACTACAAACAAAAAATCCACAAAGAAAGGAAAAAAAAAAAAAAAAAAAAACCCCACCAAACTCACAAAACACAAGCAGCCTCCTTCAGCATCTCCGAGCCCAGCACCCATAGGTGCCAAGTAGGAAAGTCCACAGGGACATTGAGGGCACTGAGGATCTTCAGCTGCAGGCAGAGAAAAGGGTGTCAGAGCCATCCATTTCCTATCCAGAAGAGCAGCCAGCTGGGTCACTGAGCAAGAGACAAATGTCAGAATACAACTTGTCTTTAAGTACACCTGGGGCTTTCATCCTTACCCCACTAATGTTTGGTCACAATATAGCACTGAGAAAAACCACAGCTGGGAGACCCTGGCTAGGAGGGCCTGAACATGGTCAGGAAGAAGAGGGTAAGGACTGAATACTGCCTTGTCCTCCCACATTTCTATCATGCATGGCTTGAGGGGGCAGCAGAGGGTGCCCACACAGCAGTCAGAGAGAAACAGAGCAGCAAGGCCACTCTTCCAGCCAGCCACTAACCAGCACCCACAGAACTGCTGCTGACACTGCTGCTGCTCCATCAGCTCCCTCACACCCAGTCCCACAGCTCGTGCATCTGCCATGGACGTTCAGGAGCACAGCTTGTCCTCAGCTCCAGAGCCAGCCTCAGATAGCTGACACAGCTCCTCCAACAGTGCCCAGAGCTGAAAGCCCTGGGGCTTCAGGGTCAGGAACCTGCAGTGACACAAGTCCAAGGGCTGCTCAGAAAGCGACCACTGGTGAAGGCCAGGACCCCTGAACAACAGTTCCATCACCAGGCATGGCCCACACACCTCTGTTCCCATGGACAACACCCAAGTGACATGACCTGGCTGTGCCTTATCTCTCACCCATGTCTATCTCGTCAAATAAATGTCTCCATGGGGCCAAGCACCGCAGCCATGGCGGGGGAGATGCATTCAGAGCCTCAGAACGAGGTTGTGTGGGGAGGGAGCAGCGTGCGTGGAAACGAGCCTGTAACGAGTTTGTAATATGCATGTGTGGCACGGCCTGCGCAGCGTCATCACAATGGCACAGGCACTTTCCCGCCTCATTGCCTCCCAAATGGATTTTAAATATCATTCCGAGGACACAATTATTTAAAACGCTGAACTAAACACTCACTAATGGGAAAACGGCGTGTGGCCTGCAGCAGCCATTCCTCATGGGGCCACTCTGCCCATGTCATCCTCCTCTCCAGCCCCACACCCTGCATGGGGCACATGGAAGCATCCTCCTCTTCCTTGGAGGGCAAACACGGCGCCACTGATACCTGTCTTGAGCCCAGGCCAGTGCACATGGCTTATGTGAGAACACACCTTTGTCCCCACCCCAGTGACCTCCAGCCCCTGAGCAGCTTCCAGGCACCCGGGGCACTGCGAGTCAGCCCCCAGGGCTCCGTGCTGGGGAGCACCTCGCCACACAGCAGGTCTTCCTGTCTCTCCCCAGTTTGGCATCAGGTTATGCGGGGCTACACAGGGAGAGGACAAGGATGAGAGCAAGGATGCCTCCTGACCCTCTTTATGTGGCCCTGGAAGTTATAGTTCCAACACAAGATTTACTTTTTCACTTAGTCTAAATCCTTCCCACACGCCCAGGCACAGGGGAGATGAAGAAAGCAGCATTATTGTAGGCTACATGCAGGAATCCAGAGCATACAGAGCATGAAAAGAGAGGAAAAACCCAAGGAAACAAACTCGCTGTAGTAACACTTGCTGATGAGAACACAGGGAGAGACAGCTCCAAGAGCGCTGTGGACGTCAGTCCCACTGCAGCACTGGCAGCATCAGGGGGACAGAGCTTTAGACAGCAGTGCGTCTGCTGAGGGGGGAGTGCCTGCCTGACCTTTGGCTATTACCCCTCTCCTTCCCTCCATGCAGGGATTCTCAGGCCACCACTCGGAGACAGCAGCCAGCCCCAGACTCAACAGAGAAGGGAGGTGACGCAGAGCAGCACCATCCCCACACACAAGCAGCTGAGCACGGAGAGGATGAGAGTCCATTGCTTGAGGCCCGGCTGTACATCAGAGGTTCACATTTTAACAGCTTTGGCATCACCAGGGCTATCCATCACCAGCTCATTTTCCTCCATGTGCTGGACTGCTCCTACCTCCGCTATTTGGAACAGCATCTAATGAGACACGGGAGCACCACCTGGCAACACGGCTGCCAAGGGACACAACATGGGAAGAGGAATACACACAGGACTGCACACTGCTGCCAGCCTCTACTGCCCAAAAAGCTCCCTCCCTCAAACCTGCTCCACTCCTAACAGACCTCAGGGATGCTCTGCCTCCTGGTCCTCCTCCATGGCAGAGAAAGAGCACATGCTCTTAAGCCATTGCTCTCTTAGAGAACAGAGACACTGGTGATATTTTCATGAATGCTCATTCAGCACTATGGTGCTCTTTTTGAGAGGCTGAAGAAAGGACAAAAAAAATTAATTGTTTCTAGCCCACAGACACGCACAGCTTAGTCAGAACATAGACATGGGGCCAGGGATGTGCAACATGACAGTGATGCAGTGTTGCAGCACTAAAAACTCTCTGTGAGACTTGCAAAGACATAGGCAGACCTGGACAAAGACTCGTGGAGCAAGGCAGCCCCAAGACACTTCGGAAGAGAGCCTGCACAGGCGCCAAGCTTTGCTTTTAGTGTAACCTGAGTACTTCCGAGTTGTTCTCGCAGCGGTCAGTGCCCCGTGAATCCCTACTGGGCAGCAGAGCCTAAAAGCGACTTTGCCCACATCTTACAGGAGCCACAAGCCCAGTCTGGAGGCAGCTGAGCTGAGGCATGGCTCTGGCCGGAGCTCATCAGCAAAACACAGGGTGAGCTCTCAGGAAAAGACAGCCCTGCGGGACATCCTGTGCAGGCATCCCGGGGCAGCTCCAGCAGGATTTACTTTAGGGAAACGAGCAGCAGGATCCCTGCACAGCCAGAGATGAGCCCCTCACATGGGACATGTGCAAGGGACAACGTGGGCAGGTTGTGCAGAACTCCCTCGTTCCAAGAGCATCTTCCTCCTTCTGCCCCTCAGCACATCTGCACTACCGGTCACATTTCCGAGGAAATGCAGGGATCTGGTGAGAGGAATGCGAGCCCAATCTCCAACTCCATTCCTCAGGTCTTTGTTGGGGGCGGAAGGGAAGAGAGGGATGTGACACGCAGCAGGATGCAAAAGTGGAGTACTGGAGACTCAAACACCTACACCTTTAAATCCTTACTCCTCTGGGGCTCACCCGATGCTCCATCAGACATCTGCAGGAGACAGCCCCTCACCTCACCATAGATCAGCACCGTATCCAGCCAGGTTCCTGCCGGAGGAGGATGTCGCACGGTCCCCGGGCTCGTGCCGCAGAAATGGATCCGAGATGAGGCAGTCAGAGAGACCCATCTCCAGGGCAGGAGCAGAACTGCAGCTCCGGCTGCTCCTCAGCACTGCCCATCCCTCAGAGAGCGGCTGGGAGAGCTGGAAAGGGGGACAAGCTGGAGCAAACGACTTAAAAGTGAGGAATGTTTCTCCATTGCCTCCTCAAAGAGAAAGATTTGGAATTTGAACTGCCTTCAACAACGAACAGAAACTGGTTTATTTTAGAAAGTTGGGCACCTCCTTTACTGGTCATTAAAAGAGCTTGTAGGTGACACATCTGGCAACCAAGCAATAAACTTTTGGTACATCAGGCAAACTTCACCAGACTCTGAGGAGCAGCCAATGAAATTTTAGCCAGCGAAGATGAAGATTCCACATGCCCGCTGTTGATAGGATGTCTCTGTGACCTTGCCACTTTCAATACCCTCTGTAAGCATGTACCTAACTTGCCACAGGGACTGCAAAATGTCAGTCTTTGCTGTCCTTAACTGTCCTGGCTGCTCCTATGAGGCTTTTCATGCCCCACCAGGTATGCATGGCTGCCATGGCTCTGCTCCCTCTCTGGCTTTCTTGCCAGTTCTCAGAGGGAGCTGACCAGGTAAAGACCCAACTCAGATCTCCCCCATTGCACTCTCTAAGCCACCTCTGGACCCATGGTGGTGTTCACCCCTTCCTGTGCTTTTTAGAATTATTCTTGGCATTTCTCTTCTATTTTCCTGCTTTTCTCTTTTATGGATAATAAAAAAAAAGTTGAATTATCACTTTGTTTTCCAACATCTAACCTCATTGATGTTTTAATCTCACTTGCAGATATGTTTAGAACCTCGTTCCTTTCCACAATTATGGATCAAGTCAAAACTTGACTCTCCTCAGCTTGGGGAGATCGGAACACAAGCACAGACACGTGGCCTAGTGGGCAGAAGAACAGATTCAGCAAGGAGATGAGCTGCTCACCTGCTTGCTGCAAATGGAGCCTGCTCAGCCTCCCACTCTTTGGCTGGACTCTCCCAGGCCTGCCTCCAGTCCAGGCATGCAGCTGAGCATCCCCACAGCTCCTCTGCCCCCAATACCAGCCATAGAGCCTCTCCCCACAGCACAGCCACCACAAGGGTTAGAGGGAGGAAAATAGCTGCAGCCCACACACCTCTGCTCAAGTCAAGTTCTGGCTTGCAGGCCAGGCACAGGGGAGAGATTGCTCCTCAATGCTGTCCTACAGACAAAAGGAAATGGAGCCCCCAGCAGAGCCCCTTCACTCTGTCCCCCAGCCAGCCCCACTCTGCAGCAGCAGAGATGCAGCTGAAGGTGAGATGCTCAGTGCTGCTGCCTCCTGTGCTCTCCCTAGAAGCATCACATACATCTTGTCCAGCCCACACCAGAGATCAGCATCTGTCACAGCTCATGAGACTCAGCAGCACCTCACAAGCTGGGGAAATCCAGGACTGGCCCATTTACTGTCACCTTGAAACTTAACACAGCTCTGGCACCTCCTGGTAACCCTATCCTGATAATGGCTGTGAAGACAAGACATTAAAATCCAGACTCGACAGTGCCTTTTGCCAGAAGCTGGCAAAAGGCACTGCAACAGGTTGCCCAGAGAAGTTATGGATGCCCAAGCATTCAAGGCCAGGTTGGACAGGGCTTGGAGCAACCTGGTGTAGTAGGTGTCCCTATGTGTGGCAGGGAGGTGGACCTGGATGGGCTTTAAGGTCCCTTTCAACCAAAACTGTTCTATGATCCTCACCCAGAACATGGAGCACATGTTTTCTGCACTCCACCACAGACCCTGAGGCAGCACCTCTGTGCAGGAATCCAGGACAGCCCCACACACCCCAAGAAGGTGCTGTGCTTACAGGGCAGCCAAGAACCCACCACAGGGTCATAGCTCTGGACACAACGCTCAGCCCTGTGGTTGCCCAGGCTCCATGTGGACAGACAGAAGTATGCCCATGCTCCCTTCAGGGCCCTAGATCCCTCCTGTAAGAAGCACTTGGGGATACAAGGAAAGGCAGTGAGGGCCAGTCACTAATATGAGGCAGAACACAGGACACCCAGTCCTAGCCCAGTTTTAGAGCCCTGCAACATAAAGTTCTCTTTAAAGACACTGGAATTAAGTAGAGATGATGGCCACATGTCTAAAAAGAAGAGTATGGTTTTCCTGTCAGTGAAGATCATTTTGCTTCAATCTGCCTAGTCCAGAAAAGGAGAAAGTTTTCACCAGAAGGAAAAAAACAAACAAACAAAAAAAAACCCGACAAAACCCAAATTCAACAACATTAACAAAAATACACAAAAACAGCTAATAAGGAAAAGCTCTCATCCCCACAGCCTACCAGAAGAAACCCAAACAAAGAACAACAGCTTTGAAAATCGTTTATAAACATTAGAAGAACCCTTTACCCAGTGCTTATTTCATCCTATTGGCCCAGGAAGATTTAGTATCTACTCTGACCAGTATAAACTGATAACTTGGGCAGAAAGACCCACCACAGTTTGGAAGCAGTTGAAGAACAGCAAGAAAGTCAAAGGCAGCAGAAGTCTTTAGCAGTCAGGAACCTGAAAGCCATAGGAAGGAGTTTGGAAAACTGCAGAGAACCCACTATGCTTCCCATAATGACCCCAGCTTTGCCCAGGCATACCCTGTGGTCCCTGCTCCTAGTTGCATATGTATGTTTTCAAACAGCAGGTGTCCTTCCAGCCCTACCAAAGAATCCCCATGGCTCAAACCACCTCACAACTTGTGATCCAAAGATGAAAGACACGATCTCTATGCATTTTTTTATTTGCAAGCAGACAACACGAGGTTTTGCTTTCTCAGTTAGGTAAGACCCAACACATCTCCTGCAGGAGAAGGCAGCAGGCCCAGGCTGCTCTCAGCTGGTCACTTGCTGGTGGTGTACTTGGTGACGGCCTTGGTGCCCTCGGACACGGCGTGCTGGGCCAGCTGGCCGGGCAGCAGCAGCCATGCGGCCGCCTGCACCTCGCGGCTGCTGACGGTGGTGTGGCAGCGGTACCGGGCCAGGCGCGAGGCCTCGGCGGCCAGCCGCTCCAGCATGTCATTGACAAAGGAGTTCATGATGCTCATGGCCTTGGAGGAGATGGCCAGGTCAGGGTGCACCTGCCGGATGGTAACCGGACACCGGCTCAGCCTCGCACACCCGGCAGCTCCGCTCCCCAGCCCAGACAGGGCACTCTAACTCCAAAAGCACCCGCGGCTGCCACCCTAAGGGTTTCGAATCACGGGCCTCTTTAAACTCTGGATAGGCTCCCATAATGCTATAGGAGTTTTGGGATTGCACTGGCAGAAGCCGCCTCACAATCCCCATGGAAAACACGGCTGTGAGGGATGGAAATACTCCCATCTCCAAGTCCTAGCTACAGGCTCATGCTGACAGCTGTGGCCTAGAAAACTCATGGCCACTTCCAAAAATTCTCTCATCTCCACATCAGAAATCACCAGACATCTACTCACAGGGCCAGAAGCAACTATTTCTACTGTACTGACTTGCGTGAAATTACTTCTTCAGGCAGAGCTAAGCACCAGAGCTCATTCCCTCTAGGAAACACTTTCTGCTCTGGATCCATTGCTACTACCCCTAGAATCCACTCCCTCAATTCCTGAGAGTCACCATACCTGCACTTACACTGTTTTTTCTTTCCCCATCTCGCTAGAAACCCAGATTTTTCTTCCTTGTTCTTTATAGTGCTAACATACAACAGGCAGAAGTTACTTTATGTACAAAACAATTTCTAGTAGAAAAGAAACATTTACTCACCTGCTTCAGTACTTTGTAAATGTAGACTGAAAATGCTTCCTTTCTCTTTGGCTTCCTCTTAGAGCTTTTTTTCCCAGAAGCAACAGCATGACCACGTTTCTTCAAACGTTCTGAGCTCATCTTAACCTCCAAAAGAACAGTCAGCAAGTGCTGTGAGGCTGGTTATATAGCACAGGCAGCAGGACCTAACCTGCCTCAGCTGCAGCCCCCAAGAAGCAGGACAAGTACACACCTGTGGCTGATGATTCCACTTTGCACTAAATGAAAAGCAGCTGGCCTGAGAGGAGCTTGGAAGCGACAGATTCAATTAGACTTTTAGACCTGACAAGTTTGAGAGTAACCAGGGCAAAGAGGGACAAGAGCCAAAGCATCTGATTTACAGGGGACATAATTACCAGAGAAGAGCCATTCCCAGGTCCAAAAGGAGTTTAGTGAAAGGATGGATCTTGCTTTGTTACAAGGCTATGAACTGGAGTACTCAGGGTACTCCAGAATCAAATGGAATCACCTATGTTCTATGGAACAGGTAATGCCATCAGGGGAAACCCAGTAATTGCAGGAAGCATTGGTCTAGAGATGAAACGATGGCACTGTAAACATACTACCAGCCAAATTTCCATGCTACCTAGCCTGCTCTTGGGATCCCCCTGCTGCACACAACAGGGCCTGGAATGTCAGGAGGGGGGCAGTGGAAAGCTGACACCCCAAGTGTGGATTTGACCTGTTTGGAAACCAATCATTACACTGAGGGTAATCGTGACACAGGATTTAGGCTTAGCTGGGAAAAATGTGCAGCAGCACAGCAGAGACATGGACAAAACAGAGTTTTCCGTACTTTGGAGAGAAAAGGAGGCCTTTCAGCAGACACCACTACAGCCATTTCATAAAAGAGTGATGCCAGTATGCTTCTCTGGTGGGGGAACACACCTTGTTTGGTGGGGGTGTCTGTGCTGACATGTGGAATCTCCTGCTCAGGTACACACATCATACTGGCACATCCTGAGCAAATCACATCTTCCAGAGAGTGAGCTCGGGAGCCCTACACATCAGGCAGTGATTCTGTTACAGCTTGTGCAGCCCTCAGTGTTTCACTGAATTGTTTTGTTCTCAGCCTATGTTCATGGGGAGGCGCCTGACCCCACTCCCCTAGTGCAAATAACTGTCACAGTGACAAGGGCAGTCAGTGCCACAGCGGGGTTCTTGCTCCCAGAAACCAAAACACTAGTGACCAGGCAGTATGGGCTGGAATGGTCATGCCAGCGCATTTGTGAAGGAGAATGGGCTTGTGAAGATATGTGGTGGTGGGATCCTCTTAAACAGGAGTGACTGATACTAGCAGTGAGGAGCAGGGGACATCACCACTTGTGCTTCGTAAGGGGCCCTGTGTTGTCAAGGAACAGTAACAGGCTCCCCCCTCAGAGGGACATTCCACCACCCTCCTTGCAATGGGAGCTGTGTTTCCTTGCTCTCAGCACACAGGGAGGGACTCTCGTACTGAAGGAGCTGAGGGCTGTTGTGTCCCTCCCCTGCTGCCACCCTGTTTGTGATCCACAGCATTACACAGTGATGAACACACAGCTGTCTTTTCTGAAAAAACCCATTTAGTTGGAAGGGAGCCCGTTGGTGGAGGAACAGCAGCTGGTCACTCAGCGTTAGGCACAGAAAGTCTTTACACACCGACGGTGGAGGCTCCTCCACCGAGCAGTACAGGCAGCTCTGAACCCTCAGGTCTGGAGAATTACCATCTGCTTCCCTAGACTGCATGTGCTAGAGGCTGCACACGCTGCTGTGCTAGGCCTGCCTCAAACTGCTGCTGGTTTTGTGCTGTATGGACCTACTTGCAGCACACACACAAGGGAATCCCACAAGCCTGCACCTGCCACCTCTGGCTGTGTTAGAGCCAACCTTTCTTTTGGATAACAGGCAAGTGTGACCGTGCAGGCACTGGGTCACTTCTTTTACAGAAATGACCATCCTAGCACCTAAGGAGCAATTCTTGTAATTTATTGATAGTTTTGCTTTTCTGCAAAACCAGAAAATTCTCAGCTGAAACAGCTTGAAGTGGCACTGCTTCAGCTTGTTGCTGTCTCCGAGATTAGTGCTCCAGGACATATCTGCCACAGCTGCTTCAGCACAGCCCAACAAATTGTCACCATGAAACAGAGGTTAAATCAAGGCTGTTAAAGCACATTTATGGATTTCATTTTACAAGCCCTGGCCTACTGTGACCCTTAGTGCAGCTACAGCTGCTTTTGCTTCAAACATGTACCTGTGGCCCTTGTTTATAGATCAGAGACACGTCTGCATCTGGGAAGTTCCTCTCTCTTTGCGGCAGCAGATAGGTAACAGCGCTCTTGGCTCCATGAGCTGTGACAATGCTCCAACCACTGCCCTTCATGCTGGCTGTCATCCCAATGTCCCCAGGCCATTCTCGGGATTTACCCATCCCAAAGAACTCAGTGTAAGATTGTATCCTCCATTTATTACCGCAAATCTGAAATTTAGTGGAATGAATTGTCAAATCTTTGGTAAGGAAAAGAAGTATAGGACAAATAGCTCTAGCTTCAGTAAGGACTGTGACCTCACCGTTCTCAGAGCCACTTCACAACCGCTTCCAACTCACCAACACTTCCTACAACTTAGAGAGCAGAACAAACAGACCTGCATTAAACTATAATTGTTTAACTTGTGACCCATCAGTTTTTTCAGAAATCGCTTCCCTGCAAGTTTTCACACCCTCGCTCTGATAACTTCCATGTCCTCCACTGTGAGATATTCATCCAGGTGACATTTACTGCCACCTAGACCTTTCTGCTGAACTAACTTGGAAGCACTTATACTAACTGGCATTATTTTCCTAGAAAACATATTATTTTTCTCATCTCAGGTCATTGCCAGAATGGGTGAAAAACCTGAAGGGTCCTATTTGATCTACTGAAAGCAGCTCACATTGTGACATTTGTCCTATGGATGATACTCAGTGCTTCCACAGCAGCAGCCACAACTTTGATGGGCCCTTTAGGAAAGAAAAATAAGACTACTCAAAAGTCAAAGCCAGTCAGTTGTCCCCAAAGAATGCACTGCATGAGGGCACAACTCCTTTGTTTGTCCTTACCTTCCATTCACCCAGGCACTTGTGCTGCCAGATGGGCTGCTGGGCTACACGAGCCTCTCCTGTGATGAGTGCTGTCACTCTCATGTGTCAGAAATAATTAAAATGATGACTCATGATCAAAAGAAGCTATTAGGCTCAATTTGCTACCTACCTTTCTCTTTAGTGCCCTTTATTCTAGTACTAAATTAAAAATGTATTTTATTCAAGCTTCTGTGGCTCAGGGTGAGATTTGAACACCAACTTTTCCAAAAATCTGTTATTGAGAACAAATTTAACAACTAGACTTCAGTTGATTAGTCTTTACTTACACCTGCAAGGAACAAGAAACTAATTCAGAGTCCAAAATGCCTATATTATTCAATCTTACTATTAGACAATTCAAGGTGAAGCAAAACGCCACAACAGAGCCCATGTGTTTGTAAGAACACACGCTGGTATTCCACAGACCTATGTTCTGTCTCTTAACAATGATCTTCAGAACACTTTCAAGTTGTGTCCGCCGCTGTCTGCAACAGAGGCACCCATGGCCTGTTCTGTGAATCGCTGGAGATGCAGTGCTCAGCCTGGCTGAGCAGAGGTGCCCCAGGTGCGAGGACCCTGCTCAGTGCCTCCACAGCTGAGTGCTCACCACTTCACATCTCTCAAGTTCTGGCCACAGCTTTGGTTGTACTGAGGAACTGAGCATTTAGCACGAAGGGCTGATCTCACTCAAAGCTCAGGACTTGCTGACTCACCCCAGCACAACCCAACTACCACGGCTCACAAAACAAGACAAGATTGTTTTTCTCTCTTTATTGACTGATGGATTCTCAGGCAGATCTGTTAATTACACTGTTAAATAATAGTTAAAAACAAACCAAGGCCAGAGGAGTTTGAAGTGAAGTATCTAAACTGAAGCAGAAATTGGGAAGGAAAAGGCAGGAGAAGCTGGGCTGGGGTCTCCACTTGTGTATCACTGCAGCTTGGACACCCCGATGGCCACTGCCGTGACCCCAAGCCAACAGATTCCAAGGCCTGGCTCAGATGGGACATTGTCTAAATAAGGACACAGTTGCCCATACGTAGCCAGATCAGAAGAGAACAGCTCTGTCCAAACATAGAGGTGCAAGGCAAGTCGAGGGGAAGCAGTATTGCAGCAATCCTAGAACACAGGCAGAGGAGCAGCAGCTCTGCTCCCGCTGGCACCGGCGGGCAGGCGAGTGGCGCGGCCACCACCAGCCCCACGGAGAACATGGCCTGGGGGCTCCTCAGCTCACACATTGTGGGTCCGTTTGGTGAGCTGCGGGTCCTCATCCACCAGCTTCGACTTGAGATGCTCCTTGTAGGCAAGGATGTCCCCTTGCCACTTGGCGATTGTCTGCTTCTCACAGACCCAGATTTCCTGTGCAACCTGAGAGCAAACACACAACGAGGAGGAGGAGGAGGAGAGAGGTTTGCAGTACAAATTTTTACAATCTTACCAAAATTATAAAGTTAACTAAAAATTACTCTCTGAAGTCTGGCAAGAAAGGTTTGATAACTTTCACATTTAGACTACCAAAGAAAAGTATCTACAGGGAAACGTCTTCCCTGGTGTTTTCCACATAGTCCTAGGCCCCTCTGTATTTCTGGTTTTGTTCATGGACTAAGATGAAAAGCCTTTCTTGCTAAATTGGTAATTGAAACAAAAGTAGTTCCTGACCTGAACTACTTGGATCTATCACAGTGAAAAATAAAATCATACCTGAACTTGCAGCCAAAGCTATGGTGGATAGATCAGCACTTCACATTTGTGGTGGTTTTTATTTTATTTAAAGTACCTAATGTTTTCCTGGGCTAGCTCAGCAATTGTTTAACATGAACACAGTAAGGGAATCGCAATTTTTTTTTTTTTCACTCATCCCATCTTTTTGGGATGAGTAAGAGCCAGTCAGTTGAAAACACCTTGTTTTAATGACTAAAATGTTAGAAAGGTGCTCTGACAAAACTCACAAGTGTCCTTACCTGTTGGATGAGTCTGAAGTCATGGCTGACAAGCATCATTCCTCCCTCGAACTCATTGAT